TTCTGATGAACTGTCCTAGTTGTTGATAACACCAGAATATCACTCTATGTAGGCAGAAAACAGTCAACTTTTTCAAAAGAACTTGAAGTTCTATGTGGACAAACCTTTTGACAATCATTCTGGAAGGCTTCCCAATCCTTTAGATGCCTAATAGTAGAATTTGAATTTGAGTCAATGCTGACAAGAAAAAATGGCTCATCTGCAGCAGAATCATATGATGAGGTTTTCCTAACAATAATTTAAGGGAAAAAGGACATAAATGATGACAGAAAATATACCAGCTGTTGCGCTTGAGTTACGCCATTCATTACAAGCTGCTCTCACTGCTTCTGCCTACATGTTGCAGAGAATATCAAAACATTTAAAGAGTAACATTAGTCTATACATTCAACGCCTTATTTCCAGAAAGATTCACAAATCTGATTACCTCTTGTGAGCTAAACCATTGTGAAGCTGGCCTCAAATCAACCAGGGTTGCTGGAGGATTAAGCACGAGAGCAGGGAATGCAACCGAATAGTGAAAGTTCCACTTCTTCAAGTCTGCAAATGAGATAAGCACGAACCTCGACAATACCGCACTGTCATCTATAGCTTTACCTGAGTGAATGTCCTCCCAAATCTAAGTATCAACAATATTAAACTTGTCATGCCAGAAAATCAAGTCAATTAATAAAAATTAAAACATAAATCTCAATTTGAATCACAAAACTGAAGACAACCCACACAAACTAGTAGTAAAATACTAAGCAACCCATGTATGCAATTGAGGAATAAGTCCATTAAGTGATTTACCTTTTTTGCTTCTTCCTTTAGCAAGCTTTCTCTATCAATGGCACGGAAACTTTCCAGAGTATTTGTGTTGTAAAGGGTTCCTGGGACAGAGCATCTATTACGATTCCCATGACTTGTTGCCGTCACTGATGACTCCTCATCGGAGTCCGATGGTAGAGATTCCATCAAAAGAGTTAAATGATTGGAAACTTGGGAATGTGAGCAAGGTGCATAGAAACCTGCAAAAATCAGCTATAAGTATGTTACACAATCAACAAAAAAGTAAGTCCATAAGAATTAGAAAATAAAAATAACTAATTCTGGAAAGAAAAAACTGATATTATAACAATTATACATGAAACAAAAACCAAACGATAATACAAAGTAAAGCAGCTGAGCCCCAATTGATTGGACAAAAATTGAAACTTGAGAGAAACAAAAGAAAATCCTAAATTTCAAATCTAATCAAAGGGATCAAAATAAAGTAAAGTACCAGTGATGGGAATGGGCGAGTCGTCGATGCCAAGCTTGTTGAGCTTTAAAGAAGACAATCTGTGCCAGAAACCCTCGTCGACAGCGCTCTGAAACGGCGCGAATTGAAGTATAGATCCTGCTTGTTGGTTAGCCATAATCGTCCTGTAGCTTTTACTTCGTTGTCCTCAAAGTAAATTGAGTTCTTGAGGCTAGTTTACTTTAATTTGAGCAAGTGGAAGCAACAGAAAAAAATCGTTAAAACTTAAACAGTGTGGTATCGTGTTCGTGTCCGGTTCGTTTCCGTTTAGAACTCTTCTCTTTAGATTGGTCACGTCAGCATAAATAAGAGTTTAATATAATGTAGAGCGTAATTTAAATGAGATAAAGGCATATCCACAAAACCATCATGCCTAAAATCAGCAAAGCTTTTAACTTGGCTAAACACAAATTCTGCAAGATTAAATAAAATTCTGAGTCGATGCAAGATTGGAGAGTTTCAATACTTACAGTGCTGCAACAAGCTGTGCAACTATTGAGGAGTAAAGACTAGTGTCATCTGAGAAAATTGAGAAAGGGAACCTCGAATTTGGTCGGTAAAATCCCAAGAGGTTGTTCACTGCTTCCACTGCTGCTAGAGTTTGCAAAATCAGCTTCAGCATAAATCCTGCACATTAGAAGTTGAACACCAAAATGCCAAGTCAAATAAATAAAGGAAGCTAAAGATACATATATTACTCAAAACCATTGTGATTATGGAAAATCTTCCAAAAATCAGAGAAGTTTATTAGTTTTCAAGGGTGTACCATGAGGATGATGGGAGGACACTGACTAACAGTTCAACAGCTAGAGCAGAAGCAATAGGAGCAAGCCCGGACGTGTAACTGTACATTGCTGGTCCAGAGTGCGGTTAGCAGTTGACTGCATAGAGAGCATAAGAGTTATTACTGAGGTTGATACAGTCAAAAAAACTAAAGCATAAAGTCTTTCAAATCTAGAATGTACATCAGTTGGAGACAACAGTCATTGCAAAAGTAACAGCCAATCTCTGCCTCCCATCTGTATTATTTAAGCCAAGGTTACCCATATCTGCAGATAAAGCATTTACAGGTACAGCTTTCACATCATGGTTAGGTCTGAAAGGACCAGGACCATGGCGCATGACTAAGAAGCTATCAAACCCAAGAGCTGCAGTTATCGTGATCTGCAAAAAGATAAATGCCAATGAATAAGCCAATATTAACATGGCAATAAATAATACCTAATAAACTATGTGGAGTCAATAAACAAATACGTATGGTCAAGTGTGCCAAGCCTGAGGCTAAAAATGAAGTGCAAATGTCAACAATTCTACCAAGAAGATCAAGTAGATTGACCTTGTTATTGTTGGCACAAAGAAGCGTAGGTAGCCATCGACTTTCCTTGGATCAGTCAATAAGAAAATCACATCATGAGAAAGAATCAAATCATGGAAGCGTCTACAGTCATCAAGCACACACCTCTTCTCGTGCTAGTCTGGATGTCCAGGCATAGGTATAGCCATCACAACACCTTCTGTCCTGAGAAAAGGAATGACACATCAGATGCAGAGAGATCAGAAAGTGAACATAATTCTTTCTGGATGAGCCTTTGAATATAGAGGCCTCAGGTAAACCAATTACCACGGCTGGAAATATCCGCTGGAGACTTTTCACTGCTGCGTTGCTTGAATTCCACCACTTTGCTTCTAACTATTTTTGTAGAATTGTATATGGAAACTTATTAAAAATTAGTTTTAAGTTTAATAAATGTATTACCATATTAAATTAGTCACATTTAAAATGTTATCCTAGTTTATTAAAATGTATTTCTCTATTGATTTAACCAAATTTGAATTGCAGTCCAGTCTCCAGGTCGAGGAAATGAAATGAGATTGATATACTGTTGGAAGTCAGAGGAGTTGTTCACTCAATTTACTTGCAAGTAAAAGGAAATGTGAGATGTCCCCCATTAGTCAATTGCCTCGTTATTACAAATTCAAAAGAAAAAAGCAAACACAAAGAAAAATATACTCCATTGTAGATGAATTTCTAAGTCTTGAATGGAGAAGTGAGGAATTATGATAAAAGTCTTTCTCTTTCAAACGCAAAGTCTTCATATACTCCATTCTAGATGAATTTCAAAGTCTTGTATGGAAGTGACGAATTATGATAAAGCCTTTCTCTTTCAAATGCCAAGTCCGACTATTAGTATCCTACGATATACGATACATATCCTATGATATGATTTGATATGAGTCATCAACGATACGTATCAAGAGTATATCATAAACTTTTCGATACGTTAATATATATCTCACGATACGATACGTATCCGTTCATATCCTTAAAGATATCGCAACAAATCGATACCACTTTATTAATTTGGACCGAAAGCTCCAAAAAAATTTCGGGTTGGATTTGGGTTACCCAATTCGGTTCACTTAAACATGTCCAAATTTACCTATTTTGTATATAAAAATTGAAGAGAAAGATGTGTTACCAATTTTACATGATAATAATAATACAAGTGGAGATATAAATATTGATATTGATATTTGAAATGATATGAATGATTTTCTTAATTTTTTGATTAATTTTGGTTATGTAATACCATAATTTAAAGCCAATAATACCACAAAATTAATTAATTAATTTGGAGCATGATATTAATTTTTAGAAAATTTTTATTATTTTATTAATTTAAAAAAAAAATGTATCTTATGATACGATATGATACACGATACATGATTCAAAAAAATTAAATTTTTGATATATCATATGATACAGATTTGACAACCATATTGCCAAGTCTTCCATGGAGTGTCATCTCATTATGAATCATTATAAATGTTTGAGTCTAGGTTTGGTCAAAAAGGAAACTTGAAAAAAAGAGGTGAGTGGGAGAAGATGCAAAATGCAAAGGCCAACTGCTTGTTGACAAATGATTCTCATGTTGTGACCAAAGACTATTTGTTGTGATATTTAATTATTTTATATTCAAAGAGAGGGACTTTTACTGTAAAGAAAAAATGAGTGCAGGAACAGTCTAATTCACTTAATATGAAAAGCTAAAGCTCTTTTAGGTTATGTTTCCTCTTTGATAAGTTACTGTAAAATGTAAATAAATAAACGTATTAAGGAACAAAAATAGTAAGAAATAGAAATACACTTATAGTACCTTGGAAAAGGATTAAAAAAAGTACATAAACAAACATAGGAAGGAATAAATCAGTAAGAACAGAATCAAACTTGAACAATTACTTTAAAGAGAAATAAAGAAAAACCGTCAAAAAACATAATTGGGAAGAAAATCAGTAAGAAACAGAATCAAACGTGAACAATTACCTTAAACAGAATCAAAGAAAAATAGAAATTAAAAAGCAAAAAGGATGATGCACCAGCCGGGAATCGAACCCGGGTCTGTACCGTGGCAGGGTACTATTCTACCACTAGACCACTGGTGCTTTGCGATCGAAGGGAAACTTTATTTAAATGTGTAACAAAGAAAAAGGAAATCATCCTGATGCTGCGACACGGTCTTTAATAGTTTGTACTACATAACATGCTTGAATTTAAATGAAATCTTCAGCTTAATCTTTCAAGTTGGCATCCGCCATGCACAAGCTAGGCTGCTCCATCTCTACTATTACTATATGTCGATGGAAAAGAAAAGGAAATAATTCAATATATAAAGGCTGTACAAGTACAACCAATTCATGAAACTAACGCTGAAAAATATACAATAATTTAGACATTTATTTGAATTAGTTTTGTACAATTGATAAGGTACTGAAAAAGAAGCAATTCAGGGAGGAACTTTGTCAGATTTCAACAAAATCATCATCAGCATCATCATCACCATCTGTTTCATTGTCCCAATCTAGATTGAAAGAATTAGCTGATCTCTTCAACTCTGTTAGTCCAGTCAGATCCTCCAGATAGGTAGGATGGTTAATGGCTTGGAGTAGGAATTCCGTACCTTTTTTCTGATATTCAGATACCACCTGAAATATTTATCCTCATCATAATTAAAAACTGGATTCTGGAAAATTGATTTAGAAAAGAATAAGTTTAACAATAAGAACCATAAAAGCATTAAACCTCGTGCCAAAAGAAGACTCAAAACCTTTCAAAAGTTTAATTTGACACATTCATCCTGAAATGGAAACTTTTACTAAAAACTAATTTATCTTTGATGGTAATTTAAATGAGATAAAGGCAAATCCACAAACCCATCATGCCTAAAATCAGCAAAGCTTTTAACTTGGCTAAACACAAATTCTGCAAGATTAAATAAAATTCTGAGTCGATGCAAGATTGGAGAGTTTCAATACTTACAGTGCTGCAACAAGCTGTGCAACTATTTGAGGAGTAACCGACTAGTGTCATCTGAGAAAATTGAGAAAGGGAACCTCGAATTTGGTGCGGTAAAATCCCAAGAGGTTGTTCACTGCTTCCACTGCTGCTAGAGTTTGCAAAATCAGCTTCAGCATAAATCCTGCACATTAGAAGTTGAACACCAAAATGCCAAGTCAAATAAATAAAGGAAGCTAAATGATACATATATTTACTCAAAACCATTGTGATTATGGAAAATCTTCCAAAAATCAGAGAAGTTTATATAGTTTTCAAGGGTGTACCCATAAGGATGATGGAGGACACTGACTAACAGTTCAACAGCTAGAGCAGAAGCAATAGGAGCAAGCCCTGGACGTGTAACTGTACATTGCTGGTCCAGAGTGCGGTTAGCAGTTGACTGCATAGAGAGCATAAGAGTTATTACTGAGGTTGATACAGTCAAAAAAACTAAAGCATAAAGTCTTTCAAATCTAGAATGTTACATCAGTTGGAGCAACCACGTCATTGCAAAAGTAACAGCCCAATCTCTGCCTCCCATCTGTATTATTTAAGCCAAGGTTACCCATATCTGCAGATAAAGCATTTACAGGTACAGCTTTCACATCATGGTTAGGTCTGAAAGGACCAGGACCATGGCGCATGACTAAGAAGCTATCAAACCCAAGAGCTGCAGTTATCGTGATCTGCAAAAAGATAAATGCCAAATGAATAAGCCAATATTAACATGGCAAATAAATAATACCTAATTAAACTATGTGGAGTCAATAAACAAATACGTATGGTCAATGTGCCAAGCCTGAGGCTAAAAATGAAGTGCAAAATGTCAACAATTCTACAAGAAGATCAAGTAGATTGACCTTGTTATTGTTGGCACAAAGAAGCGTAGGTAGCCATCGACTTTCCCTTGTATCAGTCAATAAGAAAATCACATCATGAGAAAGAATCAAATCATGGAAGCGTCTACAGTCATCAAGCACACTACCCTCTTCTCGGCTAGCTTCTGGATGTCCAGGCATAGGTATAGCCATCACAACACCTTCTGCTTCCTGAGAAAAGGAATGACACATCAGATGCAGAGCATCAGAAAGTGAACATAATTCTTTCTGGATGAGCCTTTGAATATAGAGGCCTCAGGTAAAACCAATTACCACGGCTGGAAATATCCGCTGGAGACTTTTCACTGCTGCAGTTGCTTTAAATTCACCACCATTCAGGCAGTCCTCCATTGTATACAGGGACTGCCTCAATGGATTAGACATTGCCACCTTACCATTGTCAAGTAGTGTAATTTTTCGGACACCCCAAGCCTGAAAATTACATTTTTTTAGCACACATAGGAAGAATAAAGAAAACCATAAATAAAAAATTTCTGAACACTCACCATAAGCATACGGGCAACTTGGCATCCAAGTGTACCTGCTCCAAGGAGAAGACACTTAATAGAAGATAAGATGTTTAGATTCAGAGATGGCAGCTGGCGCCATCTCATTAACTTTAGATTTAAATCTGCCGCAGAGATAGCCAATCTGTAAAAGTAACTCAATCAATATAAACTAGACTGAAAGTATTATGGACTATAAAATCACAACGCAGACAACATACCTAGTAGGATCCATGGACTTAGCAAGGCTAATACACCTATACACTTTCCTCTGTTTGTTAAGTTCCCATCCCACGGCATTAGGTACACATTGATGATCCCTCCAACCTAAGTGGATATTGGCAGTTAATCAGATGACCTAGTGCACAAATGCATTCAAACTGTTTAAGAGATGAACTATCAACCAGAAAAGAGCAGTTACCCAATTTCTGCCGCTCTACCTTGTGGAACTGTAATCAGAGCTTCGCCAACAAGGGATAGACCCAGATCTGCAAAACCACGATTCTCTCTATAGCAAAAAAAGTGAACTGACTTCAGATTCCATCTCGAAAAAATAAGAGCAAGGAAGTTGCGAAGAGGCCAGCCAGGATTATTTTGTAGATGACACGGGTCATAGAAACCAAATAGCAACTGCAAATAACCATATGTAGTAGCTTTCAGAAAGAAGAAACCATCTATCATATTCTGATGAACTGTCCTAGTTGTTGATAACACCAGAATATCACTCTATGTAGGCAGAAAACAGTCAACTTTTTCAAAAGAACTTGAAGTTCTATGTGGACAAACCTTTTGACAATCATTCTGGAAGGCTTCCCAATCCTTTAGATGCCTAATAGTAGAATTTGAATTTGAGTCAATGCTGACAAGAAAAAATGGCTCATCTGCAGCAGAATCATATGATGAGGTTTTCCTAACAATAATTTAAGGGAAAAAGGACATAAATGATGACAGAAAATATACCAGCTGTTGCGCTTGAGTTACGCCATTCATTACAAGCTGCTCTCACTGCTTCTGCCTACATGTTGCAGAGAATATCAAAACATTTAAAGAGTAACATTAGTCTATACATTCAACGCCTTATTTCCAGAAAGATTCACAAATCTGATTACCTCTTGTGAGCTAAACCATTGTGAAGCTGGCCTCAAATCAACCAGGGTTGCTGGAGGATTAAGCACGAGAGCAGGGAATGCAACCGAATAGTGAAAGTTCCACTTCTTCAAGTCTGCAAATGAGATAAGCACGAACCTCGACAATACCGCACTGTCATCTATAGCTTTACCTGAGTGAATGTCCTCCCAAATCTAAGTATCAACAATATTAAACTTGTCATGCCAGAAAATCAAGTCAATTAATAAAAATTAAAACATAAATCTCAATTTGAATCACAAAACTGAAGACAACCCACACAAACTAGTAGTAAAATACTAAGCAACCCATGTATGCAATTGAGGAATAAGTCCATTAAGTGATTTACCTTTTTTGCTTCTTCCTTTAGCAAGCTTTCTCTATCAATGGCACGGAAACTTTCCAGAGTATTTGTGTTGTAAAGGGTTCCTGGGACAGAGCATCTATTACGATTCCCATGACTTGTTGCCGTCACTGATGACTCCTCATCGGAGTCCGATGGTAGAGATTCCATCAAAAGAGTTAAATGATTGGAAACTTGGGAATGTGAGCAAGGTGCATAGAAACCTGCAAAAATCAGCTATAAGTATGTTACACAATCAACAAAAAAGTAAGTCCATAAGAATTAGAAAATAAAAATAACTAATTCTGGAAAGAAAAAACTGATATTATAACAATTATACATGAAACAAAAACCAAACGATAATACAAAGTAAAGCAGCTGAGCCCCAATTGATTGGACAAAAATTGAAACTTGAGAGAAACAAAAGAAAATCCTAAATTTCAAATCTAATCAAAGGGATCAAAATAAAGTAAAGTACCGGTGATGGGAATGGGCGAGTCGTCGATGCCAAGCTTGTTGAGCTTTAAAGAAGACAATCTGTGCCAGAAACCCTCGTCGACAGCGCTCTGAAACGGCGCGAATTGAAGTATAGATCCTGCTTGTTGGTTAGCCATAATCGTCCTCTAGCTTTTTCTTCGTTGTCCTCAAAGTAAATTGAGTTCTTGAGGTTAGTTTACTTTAATTTTAGCAAGTGGAAGCAACAGAAAAAAATCGTTAAAACTTAAACAATGTGGTATCGTGTTCGTGTCCGGTTCGTTTCCGTTTAGAACTCTTCTCTTTAGATTGGTCACGTCAGCATAAATAAGAGTTTAATATAATGTAGAGCTGGTCAAGGACCAGTCCCAAGCAGGCCCGGGCCTGGGCCCGTTTGGGACTGGTCCCAAATGGGACCAGTCACTCATGGGTCTGGCACTAGTCTCAAGTTTATGAGCAATTTTAGGATCCGGACCAGTCCTATGGGCCTACAAAATTTATTTGCCTCCTGATTTTTTTTATATTTTAAGGGCGAAACAAAATTTTGTAAGGGGTTTTTAGTATTTTTCAAGGGTAGATTAATAAGTTTTTAAAAATTTAATAAATTTAAAAAATAATAAATTAATAAATTAATTAATAGTTAATTTTAACATAAATGTAATATTCACATTTCATACATTTCACACATTCACGCTTCACAAATAAACAATTAAATAATTTTTTTAATTAAATTATTCATCTTCATCGTCAACAATATTTACATCATTCAAATCTATATTCCTAAAGAATTCGAGTAGTTCGGGATCTTTAGGGTGTTGTTGTAGTCTTCTTTCTATATGAGTCCAATCCCGTAAACACGTTATTACTTCAATCATCTCATCGATTAAAGAACATCTTCTATCTTCAACAATCCGGTCACTCGTTGAAAATGTTGACTCGGATGCAATTGTAAAAACCGGCACAGATAAAATATCACATGCCATTTGGGCTACAATGGGAAATCGACTTTCATGTTGGTTCCACCATTGAAGAATATCCATGTCACGTTTCTCCTTCATTGTCATAAAGGACAGGTCCACTTGTAGGTAGCGATTCAACTCATTTGGTCCATGTATGTACGAGCTGGACTTGTTACTTTCGCCATGTTCCATATACGTCCACTTGCTCGATCATTGACAGAGGTCTGCATCAGAGTCCTGATTGTCTCTCCTGAACGTTCCACTTCCATGTCCATTGTACCTGTTCTCATATAAAGAAAAAAGGCTATCCAATTTTTGTTTAAAGTCAGTCAAATAAGACGTATAATCATGTCCTAAATGCTGGCCTAACTCAGTAATTATACAGTCAACTATGTGTAATTTAAACCTAAGATCTACAACAAGGCCTAATCCATATAAGAATGGAATATCTAACCAATATTTCTCATATTTTTCTTCCATCTTTAAAACAATTTCCCTTAAAACGTTATTATATCTATATTTAGCAAAAGTTTGAGCAATTTGAAGTAAAATATCTAACACTAAATTAGTAGTCGGATAATAAATATCACTTAATGTATTAGTAGAATTATAAATTTTTTTAAGAAATGAATAAAAAAGTTCACAAACTGCGCAATCATCATAGCTGACAACTTCCTATGAATAGTGTTTTTGGTTGACGAAATCTGTAATTTGTTTTGCGGTTGGCAAAGCTTTTTCCAACATCAAGTAGGTGGAGTTCCAACGGATAGACATGTTCGTACATAACTTCAAAGGTCGAACCGATGGGTCCTCTTGCTTACAATATTTGACGTATTCCTGCCATCTTTTATTGCTACCGTCTACGATAAATCCGATAGCCGCGTGCACCTTCTTCATCTTCGAATGTATAACATCTAAACTTGCTTTAACTATCAAATTGATTATGTGGCAAGCACATCTCTGATGAAAAAAATTGCCTTCACCACGCAGATCCATCTCTTTTCAAATAAAGAGATTGTCGCAGTGTTAGTAACTGTATTATCAAGCATTAGCGCTACAACTCTATCAGTTAATAAATATTCTTACAAAACTTTAAGAATTGTAAAATAAATTGTTTCAGCACTATGTTTTTCATATAATGGTTTACAACCCATCAATTTTTGTTGTAAACCCCAATTATAATCTAAGAAATGTACTGTGATAGTTAAAAAATTAGTTTTTGATCTATAAGCCCATATGTCTGATATAAGTGCAATAGATATATTCCTAAAATTTTGAAATTCGTTTTTAAGTTTATTATTTATTTTGTTATAAAGTTTTAGTATATCTCTTCTATTTGTACTTCTACTAATAGGGGTATATGCTAGACAAAATGCAATTTTAATCGTGTGAATAAAATAAGGGTTTTCAGATAAACAAATGGGAGAGTCCGTAGCAACTATGAATCTTGCTATTTCCTCTCGTGCAACATCTGCATTGTATTGTCATGTTGAGAGAGTTGAGGATTGTGGATTAAAATTAAGTTGAGTTTGAATTTGTCTACCTGATCCGGTTGAAGATGTACCGGGCAATTGCATTATTTGGGGGTGCTTCTTCTCTACGTGTCGTCGCATCATCGAAGTCCCCTTCTCAGCGCCAATAATGGTTCCACAGAAATTACATATCTCACACGATTCTTCCCCTTCCCCATTTGTCTTTGGCCGTTTTGATTTGGTGAAATGTCGACATACATCAGACACGACCCTCTTTGATGGTCGAGGGGGTTGGGCTATGCCCATGCCCGTTCACTCGCAGTTCGCATGTGTTTGGCTACACCTCGTCTCGATCGAATGTGGTTGTGGAATTGCAGTTGCTGCCTTTGGAGGAAATGGTGAAAATGGATTGAACCCTTCCATTTCTTCGGTGGATGAAACGTAAAACTGATTTGGGGATGATCCTCCAAATGCATCATTTCGGGAATCCATTATGAATTTATGATAAAATAATAAATAATTAAAATGAAAAAAAAAAATAAATAATAATATGAATAAGAGATGATATTGAAAAATAGAAAAAAATTGAATAATATAAATAAATTATAAATATAAATATAAATTGAATGAAAATTTGATTGGAGATTTGGAGCAGAGAGATTGAGTGGTGTGGAAAAAATGAAAGATTTTAGGATTATTTATAGCGTAATTTTTTTTTGGGGGTGTGGCCGGGGGCAAAACTGCCAACGGTCATGTGACCGTTTGCTACTGCCAATGGTTATAAAGAAAGTAAAATTGATTTATTTATAAATTTTGTAAAATTTTCTTTTAACCACTATAATTTATGTTTATTTCAAAATTTATAGGGGATTTTACGTAGTTGTGTAAAGGACTAAAATGAAAAAAAATTTGGGCCCAGGTCCCCGGGCCTTGAAAGAGGGCCTAGTGGAGGGACCGGGCCCTCCTCTTTAGGCCTAGTAGGACCGGGGTTTTTGGGCTGGGTTTTTGGACCCAGTCCCAAATGCCCACCTCTAATATAATGTAACTCTGAAGTTAAAAATAATTACAATTTTTACCTTGATGTTTTCAACAAGTGACTATTTCTCCCAAAAAGGGCAAATTGATATTTATTATTCTTCCCTCTATGATATAGATATAAATTTTCCCTTATAGTTTAGTGTAGTAACACTTTGGCCCATAAATTCTAAAATTGATAATACTCACCCAATGGTTTCCAAATGGGCAAAAATAATTAAAAGACATTAACCTCCCAAGCTTTATTTTTGGAGTCATCACCTATATGGCAACTATTGCCATTTTAATCAAACTCTCCCAAAACTATTCAAAGGAAGTCTAACGGAGTTGGCATTTGAGGTGTGAATGATGCATTTTTTAATAGTTTCGGGGGACTTTAATAAAACAATAATGCTACAGACATCGGGGTTTTTGCATCGAAATATTATACCGACCTACGTGTAATACGCCTTGAGTTTTTTTAACAAATTTTTTTAGTGAACGGCCGTCTATCAAATTTGGACGGCCGTTCACTCACATGGACGCCTGTCCATGTTATATGGACGGACGTCCATATACAAGGGACGGGTGTCCCCATTTAAAGGACGCCTGTCCATAAATAAAATATGAAAAAAAAAAAAAAGAACTTTGGGGACGGTCGTCCATAAATTTTGGACGGTCGTCCCTTATGTTTGGACGGGCGTCCATTCCCGTCCATACTTAAAAAAAAAAAAAAACTTTTGGACAGTTTTAAAAAAAAAAAAGAATTTCGTCTTCATTCCCCATCTCCTCTCTTTTTCTTCTGTCTTCATATCCACCTTTGAATAGCTCTGAAACAGCTTACTCCAGGATGTAAAGTAGCTCTCAACATCTCTTCACTAATACCACTAAGATAGTCAAAGTTTTCATGGGATCGCAATAGAAAAGCCATGACGAATGGACAGGGGCTACCTCTCATGGCCTTTTCAATTTTCCTCCTGGGGTTCGTCCTGTGCCTCTGGAAATACATATTCAGGGAGTAGATATATCCAATTTTGATGCAAGGATGCAAGCCATGACGAAACCCATATATACTGCAATTGTCCAACATGCCAAGAATGGAAAACATGTGCTTGTATTTGTCCCTTCAAGAAAATATGTGCAGTATCTATAGAAACCAAAATAATGGACGGCAATGGATGCCCGTCCAAACGTTTTTTTTTTTTTTTTTTAAAGTATGGACGGGCGTCCATAATTTATGGACGGCAGTCCCCAAAGTTTTTTTTTTTTAATTTTCATATTTTATTTATGGACGAGCGTCCTTTAAATGGGGACGCCCGTCCCTTGTATATGGACGGGCGTCTATGTGAGTGAACGACCGTCCAAATTTGATGGACAGCCGTTCACTAGAAAAAAATTATTAAAAAAATCAGAGGCGTGTTACATATAGGCCGATACACATTTTCGGTGTAAAATTTTTCGGTGTCCTTAACATTATTGTTAATAAAATGTCAATAGTTGCCATATTGGTGTTACTTCCGATAAAGTAGGGAGTTACTAGTTAGTGATTTTTAGCCTATTTTAAAATAAAAATAAAGGGTAAAATAATTATTTTCTCATACATGGAATATCATTACTTATGCAAGTGTAACTTGCTTTCTAATAATAAAATAAAAAAAAGATTTGAGTAATAAGTTTCTTTTTCATATGATAATATTCGATGAATGCATTTACTTTTATATTTTTACTATTTTACTCAGATGCCGAAAGAATCCCATGGGATTTTTATATCAATTCATGAAAAAAAATACAGCAACAAGTTACTTTCCATATGGTTAACTATCTCTAGGTGATTGAGTGATTCAATATGAACTCTTGAGTGTATATTATTCAAAAGTTCCTAAGTTCGAGTCCTTCCTCGATTCCTACTAATAAGGATAGGTATTAGAACTTTTATCCGATTGGTAGTTTCAAAACCTCAAAGGATTAGTTGAGGTACGTATAAGCTGACCTGGATACTCCCGACATAAAAAATAAAAAAATAAAAAACATTCCATATGGTTTGTATTTTACTACAAATTCATATATACCTCAATATTTACTTGAATGGACTGAATTTAATTGATTTTTACATAGTGCTATAAAAACTCCACGAGCATTTATATCCCATTGGAAATTCAAAGGGAACTTATCAATCTTCAACTGAGTCCATTACACATAGAAATACATGATAGCAGCATGATGATCAATAGTTGATCACCATTTTAGAGTCTTAGCAGAACAACTTAATTTGTCCGCAATTATTCAAGTTATGTAATACAAGTGTATCTAAATGGAACAGTAAATTCATGCAGCCACGTATAAATACACAACCGCTATATAGATTATGCACATTGTCACACTGTGACACTGTCAACGCCAGCAAGATCTAAGCTCTCAAGAAGAAGAGCTGGAGGAATCGAAAAAAGAGATCCTCTGCCTCTTGTTCGGAAGTGTTGTTCTTGGTGAGTACTCTGGTGATGGAGACGCTTTATCCAGGACAGAACTCAGGGCTTGGTGAACAGCATTTGCAAGAAGATGGGATGCCTCAGCATTATTAGTGTTCCCTTCTTTGCAGCTGGTGAAAAGAAAAACATTCTTCAACCGACCTCCTAATGTTGACATTTCAACATTTACTATCTTTAGTGGGAGAGCATCGAGAGCTTGTTTTAGATCAGACAGAAGCTCGGGGCGGTAGTCACAACAGATCGATGCCTTGAATAAGAAAGATCCATCTCCTGCTGCTTCCTTATGTGGTTCAACTTTCACTTCATCATCATCCATGGGAATGAGATAACCTTTGCTGGCTTCAATTGCATTCTTCTTTAGTTCTTTCACTTGGTTTATGACTCCAGCAAGCAAGGTGGCTTTGTCCACCTGTGAACACCAAATTAATCAACCCATCAGGACCAATTTGTTCCTTGCTTACGTTCCCAACAGAATAAAAATATAATATTGATCATCTCATCAGAAACACAGACATCTACCCCATAAATCCATATATCTATAATAAACCAAGACATCAACCTCACGAGTGATCCACAAGAGAAGAGCTGGCAGGTTGCCCCACAATCCCATCATTTTCATCACTTTCCTTTTTAATACTCATTTCCACTCCTACAATTTTAAGCTTTGACACAGCAGATAACATATATATATATATATGTATGGTCACAAATCTTCCCCAGAGTATACCAAATTCAAGCATACAGAGGTGTCTTTGACTTCATAAAAAATTAAGCAAACATCAGTATAGCTTCTATGGCAGCAATCTTTATATATTTTTTTGGGATTCTTTCAAATAATTGTATTAAAAAATAACAAAGGCGGTGTATTCTACTACGCAAATAGATTCTATTATGTACACCACTCATGCACCATATTCTTTTTTTTTTTTTGTTTCTTTTTTGTCCCCACATTTTCACTTACCTTAGGCAGTTAACAGTGGATAGAAACAAACATGTTGACCGCCTTCTCTTTTCTTTTTGTAAACTTCTAACATTTTTCAATCCAGATATATCCTGTACACAAGCTTGAATGAGTGATTTCAAAACAAGGAACCAGATTTCACTCATTCACAATCATTGATATCCACCCCATAATTAATTAATTAATGCTCATACAAATACAATTCAGCTTCAGAAAAATCAATAAGATGCTACTAACTTTCAATAAATTTCAAGTTTGGGACCACAATTGATGTTTTAATTTGTGAAGGAATTCTGGTTTCCATTAAGCTAATCCCATATAATTATCAGATAATGAATTTTTTATTGTCCCAGCTGACTTTATTGCCTTCCAAAATCACAGTTGACTATAGCACAAATAGATCCATAAAATACAAAATCATCATTATTATTTGACTTAAATAATATGCACTAAAAAGTTAAGAAGAAACTGCAGTTTTTGTATAACCTGAAAACTTGATTTTCTTTCGCAAATCACAGAGAAATTTCATATCATAAATTAAGCTACAGCCTGGTGAAATAGGGCTTCTCAAAACATCATAAGAGAATATGAATGCATTTGAGCATGACAAACAATACTGAAGTAGCATAAGAATCAAGAATCCCTTTGTTTATAACCAGAAAACTATGCCAATATGATAAAAAATTAAGGCAAAATTCAACTAAAATATCAGGTTTACTGTTTTGTTTGTTTTCTGAAAAAATCAAGTCATCTACAAAATAGGCCAACTACTCCAGCTAAAGTTGTGATGAGATTTTTCTTTCTTAAATGAGCTTTAAGCGATGAAAAATCCGACTTTCCTGTTATCCTAGTTCTTTTTTAACATTTCTTAGCAACCAAACATGATGATTCCTTCACAAAAACAAAATTTCTAAGAGAAAATTGATCAGGAAGCAATTCTATAAGTTCAAAAAACCCAGATCAAAAGCTGATGAACGCTTAATACACCCCACGATTTAATTAAAGGGCTCCAAAAATTAAACCAACATGCTGAAACAAAATTAAGAAAAAAACATAAACTAAACTAATACTACAAAAATTACTGATCAAAACCTACATGAAAAAAGAAATAACCTTTCCATGGCAAGGGACAAGACCGCGAAGTGCATCAAGATGAGCATTGATCCTCTCTCTTCTCCTCCTCTCAGCTTCACTATGACTTTTCAAAGCAGCCATCGCTTTGGCCTCTGATAATTCTTTCTTTCCCGCTTTCGCAGGAGCCTTGACGAGCTCTCCTTTCTCACTATCCAATACCAAAGACTGAGTCTGAGACTGAGACAAGGACCCACCTCGCAAAACTCCATTAAAACCACTTATAATTGGATCATATAGTTTACCAAAACCAGTCCCGAATGAAGAATTTGCATTAAAAGAATAAGCAGCCATAATAAATGTTTATTTTAAAAGAGTTGCTTAAGAGCCGGATTTGCGAAAGAAGAGTAGACCAGGAGGACGAATAGTTGGAGCAAACCAAAAGGAGAGTTTTTGAGTAGGAAAGTTTTGCTGGTTAATAACTTTGATGTTGTTGGTAAATCTTCTTCTTCTTCTTGTTTTGGTAATATCTTCCATTACGTGAAAAACAAGGCTTGAAAGAGTTTGAGAAAGATCAATTAAACATCCACATTTTCTTCTTGATGATCTTGAATTCTTCCATTATTTCTAGTTCTCTCTTTGTAAAACGTGAGATTCTTGGTGTTTAAAGAAAGACAGATACTTTGGTTTGAGAGTTTGATGACTATTTGAGAGAATCAAGAACCTTTCGATGAATATTTGAGAGAATCAAGAACCTTTCGATGAATATTCACGGTAAAAGAGACAAGATTAGTGGTCAAAGGGATTGGAATTCACAGAAGAGTTTTTTGAAGGAGATGATTAAGACTTCTCTATGAGCAAAAATGGCTTTTTTATTTTTATTTTTTTTCTGAGACTTGGGACACCTGTGTCTCACAAAGTCACAATGTTGCTTTATATATAGGCATTATTTTCAACAATTACATCATAAATATTTCAAAATATGTAATATCTTCTTTGTTTTATCTTCTAATGATAAAAATTACATTTAATAATGTCTTTTTATCTCTTAATAAACATATTTTAATATTTTTTAATATCTGTGAGCATATTATAAAAGTAGTAATTACCCCCTTTGATCAAGATATCTCATAACTGCAAGCGACATAGAGAATCATATAATTTGTTGGATGAAGATAAATCATATAAAGAAAACAAATTATATACAAATAAAAATTAAAGTCAAATGATTAACAATAAATCATTTGTGATCATTTAATTAACCAGAGTAGAATTATGCTGTTGACAATCACCAATTAGACCTTAATTTGTTGACAGAAGCTCAATAAATATGAAGTCAAATAATACGATTATATTGGATATGAAAATGTTAAATAATAAATTAGGTGGGGTTTTGGTTACAGTAGTAGTGAAAGTTACATATGCCTAACATAAAAATATTAAAAAAATGAGACATCGATATTACAATTTATAATAGAGAAACGACTTTTTCCCACCCCAGGTTTGGCCTAATGACACTTTCCCACCCAAAAAGTTTTAAAATACAATTTTACCACCCACAATATAGACCTGTTAGTAATTTTTGTTATGAAAAAGGGCAAATTAGTCAAAAGTCCATTTAAGTAAGGGCAGAATAGTCTCTTCCCCTTCTCTCCTTCGCCACTGCCGATGGAGAAAAGAGTCTGAAACTGAATCTTTACCTCAAAGTCAAACTCTGTTTTCTCGCAATCTATATCAAATTGGAACTCATCATCTCCAATATCTGCCTGAAGTGAAAACACTTCTCTCTCAATCGCCTTGCTTCAATACAAATAATCTCCAGTTCACTGGGTTCCTCTTCCACAACATGAAATTCCCTACTCATCATCTCACCAATTTCAGCAAGACAAAGACCAAATTCAGCAGCTTCCTTTAGGAAAATTGTGCAGAGAACCAACACCCGCAGACAAGCCTCTCGGATCATAGGGAGCTCCTTTCACAGCATTTTAGAGTCACAAACATGATCAAAGTTTTCTAAAGTAATCAAAGTTCATCATCTGAAAATGGAATCGAAGCCTGAGGCCAATGGATCCACTCAAAATAGGGATCCTCTAAAGTTTCTGGCAAGCTTAGGCCATGGTCAATTGGAATGAGCTTCACCTGACCAAAGTTCCCAACACCATCAAGCTTCCTCACTAAAAGGTTTCCCACATGTCTATCGGTGTTTAAAATTCTAACATCTAATATCCCTATGCAATGCACCATAGTAACTGGGAAGCTTGATGTCCCATGATCACTTGCATCAAAATTATGTTTTATGAATTGCTGGAAAGATGCAATCTTGCTAACCACAATCTATTAGTGAGCCTTGTTCCCGTTTACCCCATCATCGACATTGAAGATTGAGTGTGTGATCTTCACCAGGGCAGTGGGAGGCACATTTGCAAAGTGATCATAATCAATCAGGTGGGGGGTAGGAGATGGTGGGAGAGGTGCGCGTGGTGGTCGGCGACGACAGGTAGCTATTAGGCCTTCTCAATTCAAACACCAACTCAATAACAAATCACACTCCAAAAATCAATCAAAACACAACACAATCCACAAAAAACAATACATCGATCAATCAGCCCCACAAAACTCCAGTCAATCTCACGAAATCGGCGGCAATGGAAAGGTTTGCGACTGGGAGTGAAGTCGGCGGCAAGTGCAGGGTGAGGCTGCTGGTGGCGCCGAGCCGACGGGCAGAGGGACAGGGGTGGCGGATTTTGGTGTTGAGGAGTAGGGAAGAAAAGAGAGGAAAAAGAAAGGATATTTTCGACTTTACAACTAATATGTACTGTACTTAATGAAAATTACTAATGGAATATAACATTGGGTGGCAAAATTGTATGTTAAAACTTTTTGGGTGAGAAAGTGGCAGTAGGCCAAACTTTGGGTGGGAAAAAGTTCGTTTACCCTTTATAATATTGTTATAAATTTACAGTTAATTAGTTTAAAGTATCTTGATACGGGCTCTCAACCCTTATGCAGAAACAAGTTAATTGTCTTGATGCAGGAATGCTGTTGTGTATAGTTTTGTTTTTTTTTTTTTTTTTTTTTTTTTTTGGTTAATAAAAAAATCCTATCCCAAGGTTTGCCCTCTAGAAGGATGTCTATATTTTTATGTTATTTTGTTTGCTCCTCTCTTTTTTGTCTCATATCCTCCGTGTGTTTAAGATAGACAAATAAGAAGAGATTATATTCTCAATCTATTAGGCTTGTGTTTTTGTTCTTATCCTAGGGTCTATTCTAAGGTAGGATGACCGGTTTTTTTATGGTTTCTATATACATTTTTTCTCTCTTTTAATGATAATATTTACTTAAAAAAAAAAAAAAATTTAATTGATCCATTCAGCATAGACTTGAACATCTCTTTCAAAGCAATTTAAATATTGAATTGATTAATCTGACCAACTTTGTTTATACAAATTTTATGTTTAACATATATATATATAGAGTGGATAATTAAATTCAAAAAGTATATTAAGTAAATGCTGGCCTAATTGGTTACATTATTATTCTCAATAATAACTTATATATAAAAAAAGGTTTAAATGGAGTTCACATTTTATAACAATAAAATTAAAGGTCTCTTCAAATATATCAATAAAATTTTGACTTGAGATTTGTTAATACTTCTATGTAGTGTATTAACAAACATTTTCAATTTAGAAGGTTCCATTAATTTTTTTTTTTTTTACATGACCAGAAATGTTCAAATCAGCTTACGTGTACCTTAACTAACCCTCTGGGACCTTGGAACTACCGGTCGGGTAAGAGTTCTAGTGGCCAGCCTTATTAGCACTCGAGAAGTGATTCAACTTCAAGATCTCTTAAATAATACATCTAAGAGTCCTTATCGAACCACTCGATCATCCAGAGGTCGATAAATTCCATTTCAATGTTGATAAAAGCAAAAATAAAAAAGATAAATTCAAAAATTAATCTCATGAAAATAGTCAATACTTGTATGTAATATACTAAAAAACTTTCTAATTTAAAAGGTTTCATTTTAATATTAATGGAAGCAAAAATGAGATAAAGTCAAAAAATTAATTTAGAGAAACTGCATGGAAGTACTTAATTAAATTGTTGAATTTCTTGATATTGTACCAAAAATATTGGAATGTGTTATTTATATATGGCTCGAAATTCGTACAGTGCCCCTCTGTTTCGTTGATTTTCTATTTATTTATCCCTTTTTTGGGTTCACTACTCTCTTAGAACCACAAAATTCCAGATGAATATCGATTCGGAAATCTCAACTCCTCAGCATTTTCAAGCAATAATATAATTTGATGTCTTCTCAAGGAAGGCCAAAGGACAAAAAAATATTTGGAGGTCAAGAAAAGCTGCCTCTCGATCGCTTCATGGGGCCAACTAGGGTTTCAACAACTTTGACGTATTAAAGATTCCAACAACGGAGCAAAAACAAAACTTTGCTTCTCCAAATGCCCATTTATTTACGGAGAATGTTTTCTTTTAATAAGCTATGGAGGTCTTTCTTTGTCATCATCTACTACTCTTCCAATTGGTCACTCCTTTCTATCTTTGTCATCATCTACTACTCTTCCAATTGGTCACTCCTTTCTAACCAGCCCATATTTTTCATATAATACTAATTATTTAGGCTTTTTAATATAATCATCGAGACCTTTGTCTAGATTCAACTCATTGGAACTTTGGAGATAAAGACTTAATTAATTCATTTAATTTATTCAATGAGTTTTTGTCTGAATGTATACTCATATATATCACCTACACCTTAATTTATTTTATTTTTGGTTGTCTAGACATTACCTATGTTGAAATTTAGAACAAGTTTTCGGCTTACGAAAATAACATTAACCAGTGGATCGTGGTAGTTACATACCAAACAGTCTTATAAAGAAGTATTACGTATCCTCCAAATAGATTCAAGAAAAACCAGAAAAAAATGTTAAAATTGGATTACATGGATATGTTTTTGCCGAAGGGAAAAAGGGTGACGAAAACAAATATAAAATCAGCGTTTATCAATAGAAGCCATCGCGCACAAGTAAATATCTTCCAAGTTCCAACACACACGCTAACTTCTAAGAGAGTGGCATATGGCAGGAGAGATATTAGAAGTTTTGCAGGTTATATCTATAATCAAATTTATTATCTTCTTTGCCGCAGATAATACTAAACCAGAACAAATTCTTAATATTTTGCTTGATTTGCTACGGATATTAGCTCTACAAGTTCTCCTTTCTTAGCCCACATCGCCTTCCGATGCTGCAATGCAGTCTACAAGTGAGACTTCTGAGACAATATTAAGTTGGTAGAGATCGATCTGTAGATATTTTCATATGAATTCAATCAACATTCAATCAAACAGCATATCACATAATTTGTTCTTAATCTCAATTCCCAAGATCAACGCATAGGGTATGAAATACTTAATTAAATAGTCAAGGGTTATAGCAATACCTGATTGTGTCACGTCTTCTGAATTTCTTGAATTCTTGATTCCAACGATCGGTAAACACTCCAAATGACGACTTCCGAATGAGTTTCAATTGTAAGATCATGTTTTGAAAAGAAGACTTAACCAAATTGTATTAATTTACTAGACCCTCCAATTATGGGCCCAATAATTGCAGAGCCCATACTTTGTTGCCGACTCATATTATTTAAAATGATGTGTAATTATATATGCATATTCTAATATATTCCCTGGTACATGTCTTGTTTTTCTCTCAACTTTTGCTCATTTATCAAAAATTGATAAAAATTAAACCAGACAAAAAAGAAACATAAAAAAGATGGAATATTTTCTTCCATATTGCTCATCATGATCCATATATATCATGTCCTTTTTTGTACCTTACCAGAAGAAAAGAAAG